ATGTCATCAATACTATAAGATCTGTATGTATTATACTATAGTATTGTTACGTCTCTGTTCGTTTGTTAATTTCCGGTAGAAATTCTTCCCGAGAAACTTCCATATTATTTTATCATGAAATCTCTATGTATTATATACTGTTACGACAGCGGAAGTCACGTGACGCTGGTAACACGTAATGAGTTCTAGAAAGGTCGAGGAACAGCACGAATAATCCAGTATTTGCTAGGCGCCCTCTATTCTTGTATATAAGTGCGCCAGACAAAGCGAAATTATTAATCGGAATTAGAATAGCAGATTGAAGATATAGACGGACAATTGAGTCAAGCGCGGTAGAAATTAAAGTGTGTGAATCGTTCGTTGAGAATTATAGCGTGTGTTTAAGTGTATTGCAAAGTTGTATTGAGAAAGGATAGACTAGTTTTATTTAAGAAAGGACTTGTATCGCCAAAATCAATATAATTTTATCAATATTTGATCCTTAATTTTTAGGGGTACATGGGAACATGTCAGAATGCCCAAGGCCAAGGAACAAAAAGGTTGGGAATCCTTGTTCTAGACTTTAGTGGTAAGCGTGTTAGAATGTCAAATCTTGGTCCCTGCTTTAGGACCCGTTGCAGCAAAATCGCACTCTGGATTTTGGAGCCGTAGGTGCGTTATAAGAGTGACGGTCAAATCTTACTATTCAATTAGAGTACCTCAAGAACTGGCGGTAGGTGTTGTTGACTAGCTACCTTCTTTTTCGTCTATCAGCTGAAAATAAGGACGGATAACCCTTGTATAGCTTTGCGCGAATATCCAAAACAACAGTAAAAATTACCTATTGTACAGACACATTTTAGACCATATAAAAGTACAGATTTCGCGTGGAATGATTATAATTTGCAAAATATATCATATTGTTACGTCTCTGTTCGTTTCTTAATTTCCGGTATAAATTCTTTCCGAAGAACTTCGGCGATACAAGTCCTTTCTTAATTAAAACTAGTTTATTCTTTCTCGATACAACTTTGTAATACGCAGAATCTCCACAGTCACTTTAACATTAACAAACACTTTACTTACGGTGCCTACTGTTCGATTGACTCAGTTGTTTCTATCCTCAATCTATCTATCTCGCTGGCCTTATTTGCCGGGCTTATATACTAATAAAAGAGTGCACCTGGCAAACACTCGAACATTCGCGAGATTCCTCGATAAGTGATGATCCTTCTAGAAACTCCAGCGCGCATGCTCCCAGCGTCGCGTGAATTTCGCTGTCGTAACAGTTTACTATATGGTAAGTGAGAAAAAAAACAAAACCCCCATCAATGTTCTTTACATTGCCTTATTTCTTTGACAGGCTATACTAATGTTAAGTATATAACAATATGTCGAAAAACCCTTTCAGTTACCCAGGTAAAAAGAGAGTCAAATAATCTAAATAATACCATGGCCGATTGCTAGTGATGAACATGATACACGCTTAGTTCGTGTTTTACTCGGGTCCACCATGATGTCGCTTTTGTTGTACCATTTCTGGCAGAATTAACACATTTACGTTATGAATATATATTTATTTTTGCCATGTTTCCCTAATGGTTAAAAATAACTGATAAAAACAATAGTTTGTTAGAGCATCAGTAATGCTTTCTTGAATATTTTGCTCTGAAGAACTGTAGCTCGTACATATATCGCATTACCAGAACCAAAGAGGGAATAAGTACTCGATGTTTATCGTGAACCAATCATATCAGTAGGTACTTCCTTAACAAAGTTTTCAGTTTCCTGATATACTTCTGTGGGTTTATTTCTCTTAGAAGCATCTTACATTTGGAGCTGTTTTTAGGAAACCTAGTGAGATTCTTCTATTTGTTCTGTTGTGAGCAGCATATTTTCAGATACTTCAGGGCCTTGTTATTAGTGTATTGGTCTACTGGTTAGGAAGTCCAAAGTTTGACTCTGCACGCAATCCCCATTTTAAGCTGTGTGCATGTTATAAAAGTGACAATCAATCCACTTATTCGATTAAGAATGTTATAAAAGGCACCGGGTGCTGATGAATGATTGTCCACACTCTGTCCAGAGATTCTAAGTTAGATATAGCTATGCCTGAACCATGAAGTCTCGTGTCGCATAAGTTGCCATGGAGATTGACAATAGTAAATGGCAAAAAACTAACATATATATTTGTCCAAGACTGCATTACGGATTTATTTTGTAAGCAGATATTCTAAACCTAACTATAAC